GGAGTGCAGTGATGTGATCATAGCTCACTGCAGCCTCAAACTCCCGGGATCAAGAGATCCTCCTGCCTCAGCCTCTTGAGTAGCTAGGACCATAGACATGAGCCTGTCTCTTATACACATCTAGATGTGTATAAGAAGAGATCCTCCTGCCTCAGCCTCTTGAGTAGCTAGGACCATAGGTACGTGCCACCATGCCCGGCTTGTTAATGTTTATAATATTTCATGACTATAGTGTCAAAATTAGCTTGTAGAGTGTGGTGAAGTCTTTTATTTAGAAAAGAAAGTCGTTGAAGAAAAATGGTTTAATACAGTTGAAAATGAAGGCAGAATCATGAGATGGGGGCAAGGTCTGGCTCAAACGAAAGCCTACCACTTCAGACAGAGAAGGGCAGTGGTTCAGCATGTGTTTTCTGTTGTTAGACTTGCTTGGTTCAAATTCCTTCTCTGCTGCTTACTAGATGATAGCTCTGGAAAAGTGACCTCTCCTGTTGAGCTTCAGTATAGGAAAATAATATTTGCTAATAGTGCCAATACCTCATAGGGCTGTCAAGAGGATTTACGGACACACAGTCCTGGTACAGAGTAAATAATTCATAGATGGTGATTGTTAATCATTACTCAGATTTCAAGGTGCTTGCTTGCTTCCTGGAAGTGTCTTTCTAATTCAAGTTAGCTTCCAAGGCTGGAAGAAATGATATTTACAAAAGACTAGGCAGAGTAGCCAGGTGCAGCGGCTCACGCGTGTAATCCCAACACTTTGCGAGGCCGAGCCCTGCGGATCGTTTAAGCTCAGGAGTTTGAGCCCAGCCAGGGCAACATGGTGAAACTCTGTCTCTACAAAAAAATACAAAAATTAGCCAGGCATGGTGGTGCATGCCTGTGGTCCCAGCTACCTGGGAGGATGAGGCGGGAGGATCGCTTGAGCCTGGGAGGCGAGGTTGCAGTGAGCCAAGGTCGCGTCACTGCACTCCAGCTTGGGTGACAGAGCAAGAATCCGCCTCAAAATAAATAAATAAATAAATAAATAAATAAATAAATAAATAAATAAATAAATAAATAAATAAATAAATAAATAAATAAAAGTAAATAAAAGACTAGGCAGAGACCTAGTTTATAGAGAGAGAATAAAACAATATCCAAACATGAGGTCTTTCAACAAGGTGCTTTATTGGAGGGCACAGTGTGAGTTGAGGCAGGTAGAGGTGGTGCTTTTGAGAGGTGATATTCAACTCTGACAATACTTCTTGCTGTCCAGGTTCTTGTGTTCCTTGTTATATGGAGCTTTTGAAAAGCAGATGGCAGCATTGCGGTCGCAGTTGCAAATGAAGGCCTCACACTCTTCGTTTTTGCCTGGAGAGGGACAAGAGGAGAGGACTGAGCCAAGGTGGACCCTGTTTTGTACAATCCAGGGGCAAGAAGAATTAACTGCAACAAGCCGGCAGCCATTCCACTGATGCACATTTAGGGCTAACAGATTAAGCGAATACAAATACATCAGGATGCCCAGTTAAATTTGACTTTAAGATAAACAATGAATGCAATATTTGGGACATACACCCCCCAAAAAATTATCCATTGCTTAGCTGAGAGTCAAATTTATCTGGGCATCTTGTGTTTTTTTGTCTTGTTTTGTTTTGTTTTTAAGATGGAGTTTCCCTCTTGTTGCCCAGGCTGGAGTGCAATGGCGCGATCTCAGCTGACTGCAACTTCCATCTCCTGGGTTCAGGTAATACTCCTGCCTCAGCCTCCCGAGTAGCGGGGACTACAGGTGCTCGCCACCATGCCCAGCTAATTTTTGTATTTTTAGTACAGAGGGGGTTTCACCATGTTGGCCAGGCTGGTCTCGAACTCCAGACCTCAAGTGATCCACCTGCCTCAGCCTCCCAAAGTGCTGGAATACAGGCTTCAGCCACCATGCCCAGCCTAGTTTCTCTACTTTAAAGCATGTATTTTTAAAATTACGGAACATCCTTAAATTGAATACTACATAGACATTTAGAAAAATTAGGTATGCCTGCACATGGAAATTTTCCCAAATAAAAAAAGCTAGTGTATGTCCCAAAAATCTGGAGGAATATGTAACTGGTTATCTTTGGGTAGCAGGATTATAGATGCCTTCCACTTTCCAAAATAGATATTTATGTAAAGTTTAAAGTTGCATTATTTTTGGCTTGTTTACTTTTGTAACCAAAATAAACAATAAGATTACATTTAAAATGCATTTAAACTTTATTACATGTAAGAAGGTAATCTCTGCTTACCTTCAGGAATCTTATTAGTTTTGTTTCTCTCCAATACTTTATTTTATTTATTTATTTTTTTGAGACAGAGTCTCACTCTGTCACCCAGGCTGGAGTGCAGTGGTATGATCTCGGCCACTGCAACCTCCGCCTCCCAGGTTCAAGCAATTCTCTTGCCTCAGCCTCCCAAGTAGCTGGGACTACAGGTGTGCATCACTACACCTGGCTAATTTTTATATTTTTAGTAGAGATGGGGTTTCACCATATTGACTAGGCTGGTCTCGAACTCCTCACCTCAAGTGATCCACCCACCTTGGGCTTCCAAAGTACTGGGATTATAGGCGTGAGTCACTGTGCTCAACTGAGTTATTTTTAATTAATATGAACAAACGTCCTCTACTGCAGGTTTCTTGTCCTAGTTGCAAACATTAAAAAGAAATTGTGTGTGTGCGTGTGTGTGTGTGTGTGTGTGTGTATACATACGTGTATTTCCCTGGGGAGAGGGTTCATAGCTTTCAACAGATTTGTAAATTTGGCCTTCTAAAGTGGAACAGGGGGATGTATAAGCAAATTAAGCC